GTGGTAGAGTGCTCACTTAGCATGCACGAAGTCCTGGGTTCAATTCCCCAGCACCTCCATTAAAAAAATTTTTTTTTAAAATTTAAAAAATCAATTTGAGAAGAAAATAAACAGTACATTTGCATAGCATCAAAAATTTCCCCCAAATATTTGTTACTTGCAAATGGAAACATACTAACTTTTATCATGAAGGAAGCTGGAAAACACTACGTTAACCAACTGCTTGAGGTCAACATCACTGATAAGACAACATATGGACATCATGTACCCTTGATATGATGCTCTAGGAAGGAGATACATCATTTCTGTTGTTTTCTTGCCAAAAAAAAAAACCCACAAAAACAAAAACATAAGCTCAATCTAATTATGAGAAAATATTAGAGAAACCCAAATTGAAAGACATCCTACAAAATGATTGACCAGTATCTTCTAAAAGAAAATTAGTGGAAGCACTGATGAAATTCTCCTAAGGTCTATGGTTTATAGTATGATAATAATATTAATTCCCTGCTTTGATTATCCTATGGTTATGTGAGATGTTAATATGAGGGGGAGATGGTGAAGGGTTTATGGGAATTCTGTATAATCTCTGCAGCTTTTCTCTAAGTCTAAAGTTATTTCAAAAGACAAAAGGTTTTAAAATAGTCACTATTAATCTTTACAACAATCTTATGAGGAATGTGCTGCTATACCATTTTTATACTTGAGTTAAGCTGAGACACAAAGAGGTTAAGCGTAAAAATATTTCTATCACACACATTTTCTGGGAGTACTCCATGCTCTCTCTGCATCTCCATTAGAATGTAAACCTTCTGAGAGCAGGGACGTTGTTTCTTTTGTTAAATTGTTTTAGCGCAGTGCTCGGCACAAATATGCATTCAGTAAATATTCCTTGCTTGCATGAGTGTGATATGTTGTTATGCAAGAAAACAGAAGTGACAAAATATGTGTACAGTATGGTTGAAATTTGGTAGTAAAAATCTAAATATGCGTATCAGTATAGCCTATCTTGTACATAGTACACACCATAATAAACTCTAGAATTGCAGACGCACTGTTTTAAAAGATGGAAGAATTTTCTTAAGCATGAGAGAATAGCCATCTAAGGGTAAAAATCTCGAAGGAATTCGATGACTTTCACATTTACTTCATATACTTTTACATTTTTAAGGTTTCAATGACAATTTTTAAAGCTAGGCATGAAGACTTCATCCTCCTCTACTGGAATCCTTGCCTCCACCAGGATGTCTTACCTCCCACATCCAGATCCACCTTGAAGTTGACACTGTGAGTATGGACGGTGCCCAGCGTGTGCTCCCCAACCTGGTTTCCGAATCTTCGGGCAGCACCAAAGAGGAACGATGATCCAATATAGCCCGTGGCATGGACTTTGACTTCTATGGCCCCATTGGGATGGAAGACCAAATCGCATATATAGTCATAGTTGAGCATGGTGGACACAGATCTGATAACCAGCACTGTCTCTGCAAGGCCCCCAAAATAGTAGGCGGTCTCATCTGAGTGGTGTCGCCTCAGTGGGAAGCCCTGGTTCTGCTCAAACACACAGAAGGCATCGTGTAGTGTCTTGGGGGCTTGGGACTCCAAAAGGAAGTGCCAGTCCACATAGGTGGCCAGATAGGGGCAGTCCACCCCACGGGTCAGAGGTGTGGAGAAGTAGCCCAAGCCAAAGTTGCTGTCCGCATACCGGCCTCTCAGAGCAGAAGGAGAATTTCCACCGTAGACGGCCAAGGCCTCCTGGAGGCTGACCTCATAGGCCACTCTCTCCCTTCGGAAGCGGATGTCAAAGATCCTTGGGCCAGTGAAAACTCCAAGGCCAAAGGAGAAAGTCCACAATGAGGAGGACACTCGACTCCCCTGGACACTGAAGCGGGGACCCTGGGGATGGAACTGCAGAGGAGGAGCTGGACCCGGGGGCACCGGGGATTTCAAGGACCAGGACCCACCTGTGCCATTGTCTGGGACCACCACCACATTCACCCGGCCAGCCTCAAACTCTTCCTCCAGCTGGGCCAGACTCCCATAGTAGCGGCCTTGAAAGAACACTTTCTGGATGGTCCAGCTGGTGGGGTCCAGAGCCTTGTGGTCTACCAGTAGTTCCAACCCCAAGGGGTTCAGATAATACCCAGCCCCTGAGTTATTGTAGTAGAGGCCAAACCAGGTGGCCCGGTCCCCTGACTGCAAACCACGAGGGGCTGAGTTCATCGTCACCAGGTTCTTTTCTTGGCGTTTGTAGGAGCAGCAGTGTTGGAGGAGCCCAGCAGCCTGGGGCAGCTCTCTGTTGAAGATCATGTGGTCTATGTCCAAGTACTCTCGGATGAGCACAGGGCGTCGGTGATAGGGCAGGGGTCCCCC